ACCTCTGTACATTTAGGTCAGTGTTTTATTATTGCTATGCTATTTGATGATAGCAGAAATCTGAACTAAAATAATAGCACAAATAGATAGCATTGGCTATTGTTGTGAGGAACGAATTCACTTCAGCAAAATGGTCACTGCATCGTGGGAAAATAAGTTCATTGAATTTATCGATGTAATGGCCTCAACGTGCGCATAAACTCAGCACATAATGGCATGTTTGTTAAAAGTTTAGTCGCTTCAGAAGTAAATTGTTGTTAAGCGATTGAAGCGCGAATAATCGGGATCACTTTCAATGCCGCTGACCGGACCTGAAAGAAAAAGGTTTCAAAGGCTATCACACAACAGCGCCGCTAACGATGATTGTTTTATACTGAATAGATTTGAATTGGTGCGAAGTGATTTGTTCATATTGTGCATACTAGAAAAGAAGCTTGCACGCCTCATTGGAATATTGGTTTATGGTATTTCCAAGCCACACCTACATCAACTTAATATACACAATCATTCATACGCTCCGGGTCAATGTGAGTTGTGACAGACGAAATCCGGCTATTCTTGTATGAAAGAAGTACATTGTTATCATCCCGTTTCCACCGTCACGCAAACACTCACACTCACTGATTGTGAGTACGTGGTTGCTATTCTATATTACTTATTACAGCCATGGAACTATAAACCCTAGTTCCATGCTACAGCTAAAGGCACATATAGTTAATACATTGTCCGATAGGTCAAACAGTGCCGCGAATAACCCAAGTTCAATGCTATTAAAATTGGTTTATTGTTGATTGATTGGTGGTCATTAGTAGATCACTTAGCATAAAGCTAACCGACAGGTAAAGCCGAACAACTGGATTCGTTTTAATTCGACTTTTCATCATATTGTTGGAAATGAAAAACAAAGACAATTTCTGGAAGCGTTTTATAAACTTGGTACAAAATAACTTTAACCTTTCACTTTCTTTTCAAAACAAATTCAAATAATATAAACTATACATACATAAAGTGCTGATAGTGCAAAGCAAAAACAAGAATTTAACAGTAAAACCCCATCCTGAGCGAAAAGAAATATTAAAGTAAAAAATCATCAAACAGAAGTGTTTTAAATTGAGTGTTTGTTGCGTCACCTTCGCGTCATTTATTGGGTTTCAAAGGTCTTTGTGGCATGTTTTGGTTGCTCGGATGTCAGTGCTAGATGCCGTTTAATAACTGCGATTTTATTGCGACACTCAGATGTCATTCTATGATATCAAAGGGATGAGTAAAATCGGTAGTAGCGAGGAATGGCATACTCTTTAGTGTATATGTTTCGTAGCGACATGTGACCTCCAGACGAAAAGGTTAATACTCTGTACAAGTCGGTGTTCATTGCAGTTAGCCGATGGTAGCGCGCTATCGATTTTACCCTGTCACTACAATAGTTGGGTGTAATGAAACCCCCTTTATATATCAGTTAATAATACAACTTATAAGGTACAAGGGTTATGTTCGTAACGTGAGTGTCACCACCTTTCGACCGCCATGTTGTTGTAATGCCGTTGTCATGGAAATGTCCGAGGTGAGTTCGTGTGTGGCAGCTTTGATTCGATGGAGGCAAGATAACAACATGTACACATAGATAACCCCGTCGAACCACTATGATTATCAGAACGCCACGCAGAAAAAATAAAACCCCATGTCCAATTCTATTCAAAATATACACCATATATCATAGCGACGGCAAAGAGTGAGCTATTTGCGTATTTTATTGTTGTGAATGAGTCCCACTTAGGATCCCATAGACATCGACTTCCAAAATTCATTCCCGGACGTTCTTTAATGCTACCTATGCTGACGATGGCGACGTACTTGTAGCGTTTGAATCCAAGCGCCTTCACGCGGTCTAGAATCACTCTAGCCAGGTCTTTAGACAAGCCCCTGCTTATATCGGGATCATATTCTTCGTGTTCCAGGTATGATTTTAACACGTCTGTAGCCACCTTTTCCACTTCGTGTGATCGGAACTTTTTGTAAGGTTCCATGCGATAGGTTGGCTCACATTCCACTCGCCTTTGGCCCGTCTGCATGTACGAAGTTTCGCTGTGCGTCATGTCTGTATCGTCATACTGACCACGAGATGATCCGTGTAACGACGGGAGATATACCCGGCTGATTTTCCGTCTTCTATCGGAGGTCGCCAGATTTGCTGTTGGTGGTTCGTATCTGCTAACACGTCGACGTCTCGAACCGTCTGCTAATGTGTCGCTTGATCGGCTAGTTTTCCTGGCAACTGCTCCCGGGGGGTTAAGTGTATCGTCCGCCCGACTGGTTTTCCTTGCAATTGACATGTCGCTAAATTTCACCTGTTTTCTGTCACGATAATCGCCTTTACAAACGTCTCTGCTGCCTTCTTTGTTCTCTGCACACCGTTTTGGTAATTACCAATGACGAATTCAGTCGCTTATTGTAAAAGTTACTCTTTGCTTATCTGTAAAATGTTACAACTGGTAAATTTCCAACTAAGTCTTAGCAAACACACCAGCGCGGTCCGTAAGTGGTATTTTCTTTACCGTGATCTCACGTTGAATGTGATATGTCAGACTCGGAACGTGCTTGAAAGAGGTACACCGTGCCCTAAAGAAAACACGATAAAAGCGCGGAAAATTGATCCACGCTCATTGAAAGAGCGAACAAAACCCGAAGTTTAGCGTGACTTGGTGGCATGTCACCTGGGCAACAGTACGACCTAGGTTACGGAAAGACGTTCGTCACGATAACACCGGCACCACCGAGACGCGGCAGCAAACTATAGTGTCCACCGACAACATAACATGATTACCAGCAATGTTTATTTGTGAAAAGATAAAATCCATTAATCACGATATATCACGCCCATACAGTAGTTTCCAACTTGAGTGTTGTCACAACATTAAGGGGATTTATAACAGAATACACCTCTACTTGACGTCAACCAAGCAACAGAGGGCGCAACTCAATAAATATAAGTGAGAATTCAGGTAAAACCAAAATTTGGAAGTTTTGCTCTTAACAATGAAATTAACTCGTAAACACCATATTCAGTATCATCTATCGTACCTTATTGCTGTTAAAGCAGGAGGGTCGTCACCTGCGCACGCACGGGAATTGAGTCCCATACGACAATAACAACACACGCTAAAAACGCAAAGGCTCATGGGTAGACGCTTGTTTGTAAACGATGACACGCAATGGCCGTCTGACGCATGCGCAGGTGACGACTCCCCCGCTTTAACACGTCAATTCATGTGAAAATTCGTGTTCGATAAGTATGTGACAACTCTGTAAATAGTTTAGCACCACGGGGAAAAAGCAAACTAAACATAAATTGTATAAAGAAAGTTACAGACACGTAGCAACAAGTTGTAATGCACGTGGTTGAAAGACTGGCCGTCGACGTTGTTTATACTGTATGGTAATTCATAATCATAATGATAGGCATTTATATGTGTATAACGTCACGTGCCAGCTATTGTCTAAGTCCGGGTACTGATTCTTTCATTGCGTCCTTGTGGGCGAAGGACAGTCTGGCATTGTATGATTGGTTATTGGTGTCTTCTGGGCGCACGTTTTCATGTTTTATGTTTTTACTGGTTCAATATTCTGCTTTTTTTCTTTTCTTTCCAGACACAATTTCTGGTGAACTAATCACGTGCTTGTCGAAATCGACGTCATTAGAAACGAACGAATGGTTAGCGATAGAGAATTCTTTATCATTAATATATGGTCTGCACTATGTGTTTAACTTCGCGGCATTTACTCGTCATAAATTGCGCCACCAGTTGGTGTCGATAAAATTAACTTCTCGTTCGTTGATGGCGTATTACCGGCTTCATCTATTTTCCAGGTTTAGTATTAAGAGTGAGACAGAAAGGGACAACATTTCATAGATGTGAATATAAAGATGAGTAATGCATGTATCTCGTGTCCTGGAAGAATAAATAGAATGATTGGTACTATCATCTATAGTTTTATGGTATCTCCGACGGTTTATGATATTCAGATCACATAGCTGTGCTTCCGGATTTTCTTATTAATTGTAAGATAATTCGTGAAGCCTAAAAGGTCAAATATCTTGGACACTTTATATCGAATGATCTTTTTGAAGATTATGTTATGGAAAAGAAATATTGTCAACTTTTAGAGCAGGGTAATATTATTCCGCGTCAATTATATGTGTTTAAGTGTACTGTGAAATTGTATCGGAATTTTGAAAAGTCTTATCCCCAAGGTGTGTTTTGGGCTGTCCAACTTATGTAAGCACTATCATGTTATACATACCTGAATTTCAATGTTGTCGAATTCGTAGTTTTTGTGTGGAAAAAATCCATTGCATACTACGAACGCCTAATTACACGAAGAACATTGCACACTTTATTTTGAAGCTTATTTGAAGCCGAAATTATCCTTCAGTGCAAAGAGCTAATCAGCCACAGTCTTGCAGTAAAACCACGACGAAGAATAACCTTCAACTTATTCTATTCTGAAATAATTCTTAGATTATTGTTAACAGGTACCAACTGTAATACGTAATATACTGTGGGTTGTAGTATCAGAAACCCCTACATGTGTAAACGTTTTTACATTTCATAAGAATTCTTTTGATAATTGTTCGGTTTAAAGCGGGAGGGTCGTCGCCTGCGCACACGCGGGAATTGAGTCCCAAACGACGATAACACACACTAAAAACGCAAAGGCTTATGGGTAGACGCTTGTTTGTAAACAACGACACGCTATGGTCATCTGACGCATGCGAAGGTGACGACTCCCCAGCTTTAATTTATATTCACATACGGCGGCAATTTTAAACCCGACAAGTTGACAGAGAGAACACGTTTGAAGCAGTTGTAGAATGTCTGCATTATAACGCTCATAATTCGACATGCTTTACATTGCTGTACAAACTTTTTTTTTTAAATTAAGCGTTATTGCTGGAAACAAATGCCAATTCGCATCGAATCCGATTCTAGTATTATCAGTCAGCTTTCTTTGAATGATTCTTGAAATACGAAATTACCTTCGAAACGTTTTGTGTTTGAATTCATCTTTAAATTATATATAAAATATTTTTGAGCATGTTTAAATATCTTGTTTATGGGATTGCTTCTTGGTAAACACATTATGATATAAAAATAAACATTCGTTTGTTCGATGAAAAACTGTAATGCGCAGTCGCAGACTTCCATCGAACGGATACTACGATGTTATCATACTGCTAAAACACACACACATAAAAGAACAAGCCTACTCGAAGTGTTCACGTGATGACATTTTATAATCGGCTTTCCGGTTTCACGACAAACCATTTTTTAAAAACAGGTTGCATTGGAAAACTGTCTTCAAAGTTGTAAGTTGACTATAATAGAAACTACATGCGAGAAATGGTTATGGTTCCATGCTTGGCTTAGACAAATATTTATTGAGCCACCAGTACATATCGTTAACTGCTTTAGATCCTGATTCAGACGACGAAATATCGTTTTGATTTAAAAATCCGTGTCCCATATTTTCAACAACTTCAATATAAACAGGAGAACCGTTCAGACCGTTGTCGTCTGCGTCGATGCGAGGTAGGAGGCGATTGGCTGCTCGAAGTAGTTCCTCATTTGCATAAATGTCCGAAATATGGATCATTGTATCGTTTTGTGCATAAATTAATAATGTCGGCGCTCGCATCGAAAGCGCCATCTCAGGCGAAATTTCCAACCCATAGAATATGACAGTGGCTTGAATGTTTCCTATGATAGCGGCGGACGCCGCCACTTTTTGGCCTCCCCAAGAAAATCCCACCATTCCAATATTCAGAGCACCGAGTTCTTCCCTGAGGTATGAAATAGTAACCTCGACACAAACTTCAATACATGGATCTTTCAGCGATTGAAACCAGTCATGCAAAGTTGATTTATTTGCCATAGAGCTGTCTGTGAACATATTAGGGACAACTGCGACGTATCCGCGCATGCCGAGGTCATTCGCCAATTGTCGGGAAGCTTCGGATTCGAAACCTTTCTCATCGTGTAATATTACAATTGCTGATTTAATGGAGCAGCCTATTGGCCGTACTACGTATGCCATTACGTCATCGGTAATATATAGTACGGTGCTATTGATTGGATCTGTACCTCCTAAATCACGCAGCTCGCATTGTTCTTCGTTGAGGTGTTCATCTGATGATCCTGTGAATGAAACAAATAGAGAGGGAAATTCTGATAGTAACATTTTGTACTTTTGGTGGAATCATTGAAAGTATTGCCAAAATCTAGCCAAATATTCTTAAATTTAGAATGCGTACACATGTCTCAATAGTCTCATTGTCGAGATTAAGAAATGTTGCCTAATAAAAATTACATCAGTAAAATTCAGAATAAAGTTAAAAAATATTTGTTTCGTAGTGTTCAAGGCAACTATGCGTTTAATGATTCAGTCGTTGTTGATATCAGGATGACATTCGGCAACTTTCGTGATAAACGTTTTTGGTAACCCAGCGTATAGGGAATTTCTTCCAATTTGGAATCTCCGAGGAGGCTCCGAGGTCTGCGACAAAATAAAATGACGCCAGTTATACTAAAACTGGGAACATACATTCTGTTCCGTATTTGGTCAGATTAAGAGTATCACCACTATTGTTTTTAAAAGGACTGTCTTGAAAAGAGTCTGTGTGTCGGTCTGTGTGTCGAATTTTATACCTGATGTGTAATCTCTTCCATCTGACCATAGAGGGCGGTATAACGTAAACGTTAACACAGCAGCAGTAAAACCTAGTAACAGTAAGATTCCCAGGACTAACATAATAGCTATCTTTCGAGTGATATGGTTCGAGCTGTGACCCATGACGATCCTTTTTGATCTACCATGCCGTCGTTTTCTTTTTTGGTTGGTTTGTTTTCTTTTTGAGTGGTTCATATTCTTGTCCACTTTTTTCGTAGCGGGCGCCATCTTTGGAATACAGTAGTGTACCTGTAGGTTCGAAATCAAATAAGAGAAATCAAAACATGTTTGTAAAGATTGTTTGTAAGAAATTGATCATTAGAAGCTTGGGTGAAAAGGTCCACACAGCGAACCGTTTTCAAATAACAGAATAAATAAACTCATGAAAACGAAGAAAATACACACACAAATAGTAACATCCTCCTGAAAACCAAATTAAAAGAAGAATTTACACAATTTATTTTTCTATGAGGTTTTAATAATCGACATTTTCTAAATAGCCGTATTTGTATGAAACCACGGAACGCTATGTTCGGCTAAGTTGGTTCAGTTGGAAATTAACTTTCATTATTGGAATATTATATATGGATGTGTAATACTAGAATTGAGTACATTTTTGAGCAAGAGAGGCTCCGAGATCTGCAACTAAATATCAGTAGTCACTACCAAAATTGGTTATTAATTTTATGTTACTGGTGAGCTGTTGGAACCATATCACCCGCATACCACGGTGAGCTGTACATGTGTTTGGAAGATAAGACAATATACCCTAAACAAGGTCCGGGGTTTATAGTGGTAGGAATTTGTATTTGCATTTCGGCTCAGTATAAAAAAGAATTGATACAGATGGCACAGATATTAATTGTTTTTGTTTACAAGCGAGTGCTAGCACGCAGTGGTGTACTCTCACACATGAAGCATGCGCCCCTGTTTTGACCACTATTTTTACGACTGAGCGATCTTTCTGACCCCCATTTCAATATACATACACTTCAGTACACTGCCAGTGACACGTATACCAGAACGTACAGACATGTTTTCAGTCGTACAGTTCATGGCAACCCACATCGTCAGACATGTCGCCCTATATTGTAACACCAACACAGAGTCCCAATTACAATATATACCCGCCGTAAAATTAACCAATAGTGTTTAACGGCGTGTCGGGGAATGGCCGCTCTTTGAGTAAAACACACTCTACAATGAAAGCAAGTAAGACGGCCTCTAAGTCAATGCACTTCGCTACGTGTGTATTTCGAAACTATTTTCACAAAATCATGACACTTATAATACTCCAAATATTTGTTTACCTTTCAAACCTTGTCGTTGTAATATAGTCTTGTGATCTCAGACCATGACACAGTTTTCTGACCTGTAATAACCCTGCAAAACTTCAATAGAAAACTTGCACATCTCTTCGAACAAACAAACAATCTATTTAAAAATTCGGTTCTATTCTCCCCCGTGACCCCGTGTCTTTACATATCAATAGAGCATTGTACGCATGGTTTACTGACACTCCTCGCCAATTTAGACGCAGGGGTTTAAGATATTTTGAGGATTCGAACAACGTTGCAAGTTGTGTCCCATGTCTGTTTTCAGATCTTTAACAGAAAGGCATTCACCCACCTGCTATATGGTTAGCATATGACCTTGTTGTATTGTTATGTCGAGTTAGTCCTCAATCTTCAATACATGACATAAACACAGTCACAATAGTTGACTTTTATTTTTTCCCGTTTCCCACGAGGCTTTTAATTACAATCCAAAGTCAGTTGCGATAGTGCGTACTCGGCTCATCCGAATAATTGCAAACTCATCATCTTATAGTGAAAATTCTTACCAGAACATGGAAAGAGTTTCTTGAACACAACGCTACATAGCCCTAAACTGAACTCTAACTCTAACTGAACCCAAACCCAGTGTAATTACATATATACTCTACGTAACTATGTGTGTTGAAGCTAGGGTGTATACAACTAAAATGGGGAGGGGCAAGATTAGTTTTAGAATTATGGGCGAGGGGCTCTTAGGAACTAACTTTCACCAAATTCTAAATTCAGCCTGAGAACATCTTAATTCAATAATTCATGTTCATTTCTTATAATTATTTGTAAGATATTTTTATTAAAGCATTTACTGTGGCTAAACGATGTATTTTAGTAAGTTAAATACAATTTAATATTGTGCAAGTGCGTTTAAACGTTTGCACACAAACGCAATGTGAAAGTATAATACTGTAATGTAGAAATAATGTTAGTTACGTATATGTTACATGGTCTTGGTCAGAGGATGATGGAAGTGTAATAGTGCCAGCGATATGAGAGCAGTTATAACTACCATGACACAATATGTTTTTGAAATCGTCATCTTCGGTTGCTGGCATGTAGAAATAATATACAGTGTAGTAAAAAACATTGACAATTAAAACCATATTTAATTTCAAGTAAAATAAAGACAAAATAAAAGAAAAAAAAAGAAAAAAAAACAAAACTCGTTTTACCACAGGTTAATCGCTAGTTGTATGTTGGCCCCGTGTCATATTGCACGAGAAATGGAAGAAAGGCAACTTGTACGTAAACAGTGGATGGCCCGACGAATACAAGTTGTTGAATATGGTGTCATTGAATGTTACCGGACACCACTGATTGAAGGTTGGTAATAGACTATTTGCTGGTACCAGTGTCACGTGGTAATTTAGTTCCATTACGTCATCAAATACAGAATTTTCCCGTTCTCTAGTAGCTGAGTTATTAACTAAATAGTCCTCAAGATATGTAACTATCTCACCAGGAACGGCAACTAAAATATAACATTTGAAATACCGTGAAATAACGTAAAATCGGCGTTTAGTGTGCAAAATTGTATTGACGGGCTGCACCCATATATGGAATAATCAGTCTTCATTTTATTTGTGTCGGATTGTTTCTAATAATCCATTTGTGACATACTTACAAAATAGCAACATAATCACTTTTTTTAAATATGTTATGCAAATGAACTGAATGACATATATACATAGTGAAAGTTCCTTTGAACACCAAAGTACATATACTGTATTACTTCACAAAATTGCCAAAATATGATTTTTCATATTGAAAAATAATATGAAGTTTGTCAATAATTGGGATTAAAATTCGGAACGATTATAAAAATAAACACAATTTTGCACTACTTTAGTTAGCGGGAAAACATATCGTTCAAAGAGCTACGCCGCTAGTGTATTCGGGTGTGGAACTTTATAGAACAATGCGTTTATTTTTTATATGCGATAGTTTTCATGTTAACCAGGGGTGAATCTACTTATCCACCGGTACATGTCGTTAAACGCTTCTTCGGAAGCCTGTCGTATGACGGGGTCATCCATGTCCCCCCTGTGCGCAAAGGAATGTCCAACATCCTCGAAGATTTTGACGTATGAGGGTGGGCCTCGCAGCGCCCCTGTTTCCAGGTCATCGACACTTTGCAGTAGTCTGTTAGCATTATGCAGAGTGGATTCAAGGAGCTCGACATCAGTTACCGATATTATGGTGTCATTCTGACCATGTAGCAGCAACGTGGGCTTGTTCATCGAAATAAGGTCGTCTGGAGTAATACCCACTCCATAGAACGCGACAGCTGCGTCTATGCTAAGCCGCGCTGAGGCGAAAACGGACTGAAGCCCACCCCAACAAAATCCGACAACAGCTAGATTGTCAACTGACAACGCAGATCTGATAAAGCTTACTGTCGCATCAATGTCTCCATCGATACGTTCTTGAGAATGACTGGTTTTCCACTCTACATACTCATACATGTCAGGTTGCCATGGATTCCCGCGAAAGAGATCAGGGAGGATAGCAACGTAGCCGTTCTGCGCTAAGTCGTCGGCGACTTGTTGATTTGCTGGGAGACCGTAACCATATATATCATGAAAAATGAGAACAGCCCCTTTACACGATGTCCCGACGGGTCGGGACAGATATGCGACTACGTCACTATTGACTGCCACTGTGCTTCCAGTTGCTATGTATCCCGTATGGAAATCACCAGATGGACATGGTTGTTCTGGCGAAGGCGGGTCTACTGAATTGTCCATATCACCATCTTTGTCTGTTGAATTGTCTGAAAACAAACACGCGACATTATTATGTGAAAATCCATCTCGTAATATTCAATACAAGCATTAATTAGACAAGCATAGTCATCTCCGGGCGTCGATTGCCAATGAAACTATCATAGTCATGGATCGTTTAATAAGAGCCAGTAAATCAAGAGCAACATTGTGGTGATAACAATTGTGCTCACCGGACCAGATAAAGAATCCGAAATAACACTTTGAAATACATGGGGTCGGTAAAATTGTCATCCGCTATTTAATATTCATATTTAAAACGTATAGACATACATATACTCCTAAATTGGAAAGAAATTGAATGTGAATAAAAAGTCCCGAGTACACGTGTACGTTAAAATAACCTTCTCAATTTTAATATGTTAAACCTTGAACTGTTTCGATAGAACATTCTGCTAACCGTTCCTTATCTGATTCGTAGAGCAAAATAGTGCCGACCTTCAAAAGTTGCTCACCACTTGAAAAAGCGGTGGTCGTCACGCTACGCATGCGCGAGATATGGGTCTCTTTATGAACAAAGATGGCGACTTTAACGCAGACCGACTATTTAATCTTTGGTGATTGGAAGGTATCGAAGAAGTCACTGGCGGTAATTAGTGCACGTCACGCCCAGATCAAAACTCATACTCGTGATCTACATTAAAAGAGCGCATTGGATAGTGGGGAAATCAATGTTAATTTTGTACACGCGCGGCACGACGAGCATCACCTTTAACGCCCCACCTTCGTTTAATATATCTTTTGAAGTTGATAATCATTTTGAAAGGTACATCAACTTGTGAGGTTTAGTTGTTGCTATCATCATCTAATAGTGTGAATTAATATGGTGCCATCTTGTGGCATAAAATGCGTCATCTTAAAACTGCATGTACTGGGTACATTTTTGTCATTCTACACAGATACAAGGTTTTACATTTCTGTAATGGATAAAAAAATAAGATTTCATAATCGTTTCACATTTGATCGAATTCCTTACAATTTGTTTATTATATTATCAATAGTGTTTTACGGCGTGTCGGGGAATGATCGTATTTATTTTACGAACACTTTGTTGCAAATATTGATGTTTGTATATGTTCACTTACCTGTTGGCCACCAGTATACGTAGCTGAGGATAAAAATGAGGCCTATAGCGATTGCAGCAGCGGTTAGAGCTGCGCATATCGCACAACGTGTGGTTGAGCATAGACTGCGCCCCATGGCACAACAACTGTGGATACCTTTAACAAAACATACAACTATGTGTCATTGCAAACATGATTGAGATCGAATACTGAAAACAATGTATTTTACCATTTTGATAATTTCAATTATCAGTAATTCAAAGTGCATATGCATTGACATGATTCATTCTACGCAATCCTAACAACGTTTTACATTAATCATGATACTCAAATGTCCGATCACGAAATTAAAGACGAGTACTAGGACAAGTCCTGATATGATGTAAATGGATAGATTATACCAGTTTGCCATGTAACGCTGTGCAAAATAACCTAACCTATTATAACCTATGGTATTATGCATTGCACTACGCTTATTGCTATAAATTTCTATAAAACACGTTGTATCTCTTGCTTAATAATTAGTCACTTGCAATTGTATGGTGATTCGTGGCTCTAATCAGAACGGCCGTTCGAAACAGAGTTCATGATAGATGATATTACTACGCCAAATGTAATCAAATCACTGTGAGCATCTGATAGTTATCAGTGGTTCTGGTCATTAAGTGCCTTTGGTGTCAGTATATGTCGCTTGGACGACCGTGACCGTACTATTTTGGTTGTGACAATAGCAACTACTGTATTGATTTGGTGAAACGAACCGTTTTGACAGGTCTCTTGTGTTTCTAATAATAACATTGCTTAGGTATTCCATGACGCTTTATCTCTTACAACAAAAAGACTTAGTCACATCATTTTCATTGATTGTTCAGATTGTGCACCTTAACGTGGCCATGAGAAGACTAGTTTTAACCCCCCCATTTTGATTTGTAGCCCCAAACGTGTTTTGTTCGACAAAACATCGACGTGTTCTGAACGAGTTAGACAGCAGTATATATACAAACGTAAACTGTTCCCTCGGTTCTATTCATAGCGGAAACTACAATATCGTCAAGAGGTTTTGCGAAATGCCACAGTAATTTCAGTTTGGACCGCCACATTTTGTATGACCCTCTTTAGCAATCAATGAATCCGTTGACCGAACCAGATATTATAAATTTATATACCGGTATAATTATATATCTCAAATTTCACCTGATTCTGATAATATAATATAGTATCCATGTGTATTGGGAATGTAGTCATGGGAAAATAGTGTTCTATATCTATTTTATTCTCCCAGAATGAACAATTATGGTTACAGCTGAGGTAAATGTTTGGAATTACAAATTGAAATGAAATTTCGGATATAGATAATACAACATGGATTTAACATAACATTGTTACCAATGTTCTAAAATGAATTTTACTTGATTTCAGACCCCTCACATGTTAATCTGCCTGTCCCTGAAACGAAGTAAACAATCAAGTGCCTTGAGGTTTGACTGGGCAGTGATTGATCACCCACCCCCTGGAAATGTTGAACCCCGTTCCGTAAAGTGGGTATTATCTTTGAGTGTACGATGCTACTAGACTCGTAGTGAACAATTCAAAAAGGTGTCACACACAACTCCGAACAAACTTAATCTTTTGTGGTCATTTGCGTTTGCAATTTTAGATAGGGTTACTGACCGCCGGCAACATAGAATCTGAGGGATAATAATGGAAGTCAAAAAGTTACTGCAGCACCATGGTATCGAAATACAACTGCTGGAAAAGTATCCTTTTTTTCTCCTGGCTGTAAACAAGGTGTAAGTTGGAGGGGGAAATGGTCCTACCTGCTTTTTGAGCCTGTCGTGCTGGATATGAATAAAGGATGGGCAGAGTACGACCTATTGTAAGTGTCCTTTGAATGGACCACGAAAGCTAAGTGAGTCTATTCATGGTATTGCCTAGAAGGCGTAGTAATACACTATCATGTGGAACAATCTGTTTGTTGCTGGCTATGTGTTGTGGGTAAGACAGAGGTGACAATATTATATATTGCGAACATTAAATGCTATATCAGTTTTTCACTGATATTCTTTTTTTTAAAGTATTTAGAACTTGCGTGGCCGCCACGCCATTTGTCTGTCTGTCTGTCTCAATTTCAAAGCTGAGGGTATTTCAACCGCCACTGAACATTTGTTACCCATATGAAAGTTGTTTCGTTTGTTCGTTGGCGGCGCTGTGAGGATTAGCATAGATAGCTGCTGTCGATAAGGCTATGCAAAAGGGAATCTTTGTTCGACGTCGTTTTGAAACCAAAAAGTATGAAAAATGAGCCTACAAAACAAGGTATTAAATATTCTAAAATATCCAAATCAATGTTAATGTTTTAAATGACCCAAGAAAAAGAACAAACACTTATTTTTACAAGTTGCATTGAATACCATAAACTATTGAATATCAGATTAGAGTTAGTTCCAATCGATGTATATAATAATATTTAACAGTTTGTTTCATCACAGATTTCATTTCTTATATATATTCTTGTATCTCACTCACCGAAGACTCTCTTTTATTACCACACTGGTATGGAATGCAATTTGATGGGCAAATAGCAAGACGCAAAATATAATTTCATAAGTAAAGATTGTTAACAAGCAAAATAAACACAACACAAAACAACACAACAAAAATTAAATTTATTTTCGTATAATTGACAGTTCGTTGACCCTTGATGACCCCATTTTCATACTTGTTTGTTTTCACAAAATTTGAGAGAATCCCAGGACGCTGACGTCAAGCAAACAATGACTTTTGCACAGGCCAATTCTAGATTCGTTCATGCATTAATTATAATACGTATAATGATATGAACCAGTGGGGCGATTCTTCGTTTATCAGCGCATTTTTTGTGGATATCAGATCGGTAAACACTATCAGTTGTAAACCGTGTAATTGCCTGAAGTATTCACCTGAGTTCGAACTCGTACTGCTACATATCATATTGCAACAATACAAACCATTGAATACATTGAAAGCTGCTTGTGGAAAACGAAAAAGCTTTTTTGAATAAATATTGCATTCACTCAAAAAGTCGAAATACATGCACAATCATATAAAAAAGAAAGGTGATTGTTACAGCAATAAACTAGACAATCGCACCACGGAGAGCAGCGCTTTCGATTCTTCTCAGGCTGAACGATTAGAATTCCCTGAAAAGGCGTTTCAATTTATTGATAACTCGCCTTTACCCAGGGACCTGAATTTTTCAATCGAAATTCTGATGTAAATTCTATCCGGTTACGTCACCGAGTCCGCCATATTTATCCTCAGTAGTTTGTAGCGAATCGTGTGATACTAGTACTCACTAAACTAGCCCTCCAAATATATATCCGTGACAACACTACTTTGAAAGTCTTTTTGATCATGAAATTTTGAAATCTACAAATAATGTCCGGTGCACCTCTGCCGATTTTCTAGCGATCTTTTTGCGATCCGAATTTTCAGTCGGAACGCATACATTCCCCACGACTGCAAACGATTCGCTCAGACCACTGACGCATGCGCGCTTTGAGTGGACTTTACACGACATGCGTTCTATCTCGAGATGAAATATAGTTTTGAGCTTGTTGTTAGCAAATATTTTATTTCAAAAAACTTCAGGGTCTCTTCCCTGAACCAGAATGATATTGAGGCCTGATATTGAGATCACAAATACAGTAATGATATCAGTAATAAGTTATTATCAATCCTACACTTGTTTAGAGTGAAGCAAAAGTGTTGAACAAGTGAACGTTTGAACTTACCGGACATTAGGACAGTCTGAACTTGTTATTGTGTGACGTGTTCATGAGGTCTAACCGGTTGTATTACCAACATCTAATGCTAGTTCTTAATTTATTATTTAATTATAACGTGTATACTTCATGCAATACTTATTGTAATTTTGATTAGCGGATAGTCTGGTTGGTGTTGTATTTGTACGCAGTTTTATGGATTATGACATGTATTAATGTAACTAGTAATATTTCCCTTATTTCCTAAATCACTATTAGCTTAATAAAGCGTATTAATTCTGTGCCGCACACTGGAGTGATTTCTGCTTGTTATTTATATTGCATGTGCGACTTGCCAGACAATTCTGAGATAATTATAGTCATTAATCTTTCTCCGGCAACAACATCATTTCCGTCATGTTCCGTTATATTCACTGAAATGATTAATTAACTTTAATTATATCAGAATTTCAACAAAGTTCAGTTAACTGTTAATTGCATAATTGGATTTCGAGTTAGTAACTCGGATTTCAGTGAACAGTTGATTGAACATCGAGTCAAAATTTGGGTATAGTTTTGCAAAAGTGAGCGTGGTTTCTAGAAATATTGGCGTGGTTTCGTAACACGATGTACGAATTCGTATCTCCTTTCACATAATGATACTGTTGAGTTGACAGAGGGTTGTGTAATCGTCACGTATTGTAGAACAATTATAGCCTTGTCTTATGTCCACTATTAAAATAGACACCCTGACTACTAGTTTCTAAGAGAAGCATTCTAGGTATAAGCAGAAGTAACCGTGGTATAAGCGAGTATGCTATGAATTGATGCCGGAGAAATATTCATAAAAGGCGTTAACGGAAAATTTCAATATAAATAATTGAAGACTCCACTCTATTCAGAAAAAAACGAATGTGTTTGACATTAATAAAGTTGACTTCTTTCATCGAAATCCCATCGCCACCGATCGATGAATACCCTTTGATTTTAAAACGCTACTTGACATAGATGCGGAATGACATTCAGACGCCGGTTACTTGCGACAGTGCTTTGAACGTCAGATGCTCGTGACGTTTCATCTGTATACGCATGATTCTTTATTTAAAAACAGCGTAATACTGTCACGAACAATTGCAATAATGATTAACGTCTTACATTTAGCCAAGCTACCCACAAAATTGAAATTTCCTATCTGTATTTCGGAGCAGCATCCAGTCATTATACTTGACTGACGTAATCTGATTTGAATTATATCATACCATTTCGAATAATCAAAATTACAATTATTGCTGATTATCTCATTCAACTTGATATCTTCTTCGAATTGGTTTCATAGATAAGATACTTGATTCGCTTAAATATAACTAGTAGTAGTATTTTCACTTAGATTGAATAGACCTTGCCTTTAAGCGGCGAAGCGATGTAATAACGTACGCTTCAGAGATTGAATGCTTGTTGTCTTTAATGGGAAATACAGCATGATTTTTAAAGTCCTGCTATATATAACTGAGAAAAGTAGATGGTATATTAACGTTTACTGCTTGATCTTTTCAAGCGATAACAACTCCATAGTTAAAGCCTTTCGTTCACACCATGACCAGTTGTGGAGCCAACAGGCAGATGTCCGTTCACACCACGACCAGTTGTGGGGCCAATAGGCAGCTGTCCGTTCACGCAACGACCAGTTGTGGAGCCAATAGGCAGCTGTCTGTTCACGCAACGACCAGTTGTGGAGCCAATAGGCAGCTGTCCGTTCACACCACAACCAGTTGTGGAGCCAACAGGCAGATGTCCGTTCACACCACGACCAGTTGTGGGGCCAATAGGCAGCTGTCCGTTCACGCAACGACCAGTTGTGGAGCCAATAGGCAGCTGTCTGTTCACGCACTGACCAGTTGTGGAGCCAATAGGCAGCTGTCTGTTCACGCAACGACCAGTTGTGGAGCCAATAGGCAGCTGTCCGTTCACACCACAACCAGTTGTGGAGCCAATAGGCAGCTGTCTGTTCACACCACGACCAGTTGTGGAGCCAATAGGCAGCTGTCTGTTCACACCACGACCAGTTGTGGAGCCAATAGGCAGCTGTCTGTTCGCGCAACCGCCAGTTGTGTAGTCAATAGGCAGCTGTCTGTTCACGCAACGACCAGTTGTGGAGCCAATAGGCAACTGTCTGTTCACACCACGACCAGTTGTAGAGCCAATAGGCAACTGTCTGTTCACACCGCGACCAGTTGTGTAGCCAATAGGCAGCTGTCCGTTCACGCAACGACCAGTTGTGGAGCCAATAGGCAAATGTCTGTTCACACCACGACCAGTTGTGGAGCCAATACGGGGCTGTCTGTTCACGCAACGGACCAGTTGTGTAGCCAATAGGCAGCTGTCCGTTCACGCAACGACCAGGTGTGGAGCCAATAGGCAACTGTCTGTTCACACCACGACCAGTTGTGAAGCCAATAGGCAGCTGTCTGTTCACGCAACGGACCAGTTGTGGAGCCAATAGGCAGCTGTCTGTTCACGCAACGGACCAGCTGTGGAGACAATAGGCAGCTGTCTGTTCACGCAACGGACCAGCTGTGGAGCCAATTGGCAGCTGTCTGTTCACGCAACGGACCAGCTGTGGAGACAATAGGCAGCTGTCTGTTCACGCAACGACCAGTTGTGGAGCCAATAGGCATCTGTCTGTTCACAGAACGACCAGTTGTAGAGCAAATGAATAGGCTGCTGTCTGTTCACGCAAAGACCAGTTGTGGAGCCAATAGGCAGCTCTGTTGAGTCCATGACGAGTTGTGGTGCCAATAGGCAGCTGTCTGTTCACACCACGACCAGTTGTGGAGCCAATAGGCAGCTGTCCGTTCACACCACAACCAGTTGTGAAGCCAATAGGCAGCTGTCTGTTCACACCACGACCAGTTGTGGAGCCAATAGGCAGCTGTCCGTTCACACCACAACCAGTTGTGGAGCCAATAGGCAGCTGTCTGTTCACACCACGACCAGTTGTGGAGCCAATAGGCAGCTGTCTGTTCACACCACGACCAGTTGTGGAGCCAATAGGCAGCTGTCCGTTCACACCACAACCAGTTGTGGAGCCAATAGGCTGCTGTCTGATCACGGAACTATAATCATCTCTTAATTATCGTGTTATAAAAC